CCCCAAAACCCCAAAACCCCAAAACCCCAAAACCCCAAAACCCCTCAACTCGATATCAGATTGAAATCTACGGATTGATAACATTAACCTGGTAGACAATATCATTAACATCTCTGTGATATGAGATTGTGACTTTCTCTTTAGTAGCTTCAACAGCCACAACTCCGTTGTAACCCTTATTCCTAAAGTAAAGGTCTCCGTCCTGCTCCTTGATAGGGCAGATTTTTCTGAGGAAAGTTCCTCCATTTCCACTGAGGATTTGATGGAGTTTTTCTCCTTTATAGAAAGTATGATCTCTGTTTTCAATAAAGAGGAACTCTTTGGCTTTAGAGCAATTGTTGATTACTTGTGGCTCCTCAGGAGGGAATCTTGTGATGTAATCTGGATCCATGTTGGCATAATCAGCCCAGTGTTGGTGGCCTGTAAAGATAAAATCAACTTTGTATTTTCTTATAAGAGGTAGAAAATGCTCTTTCAGAGCATTTTCTAAGAAAGGAGGATGATGCAATGTCACTGCTAGCCATGCAGTGGAGTCTTCCATGCTATATTTTTGTAATTTCTCTTCTAGCCATTTGTAATGTTCTAGTACTGCTTCAGAGCCACTACCAGTATTCATCTTTTTGCAATATTTTCCAGCCCATTTATCATCAAAACACATTAATTTTCAGGAATTGAGCATAAGATTCACAAAATATTTACCTGAATTATCTTTAAGAGGAGTAATAAGTTCATAATAATCACTTGGCATTTGCCATTGTCTGTTATAATCACTAAAGAGAATCTCATTATGGTAGTCAGAATAACAGTCATGATTCCCTAGAGTTGCATAAAATGGTAAAAGACTTGCGTGTGGACCATTGAATACTTCCATAATTGATTGAGGATGCCACAATTGATTTATATCTGGTATCCCATTCATGTAGAAGTTGTCTCCTACAGTAATAATATGAGAAAACTCCTTTCTGGAAGCTAAGCCTTCCATCATTTGAGCTGATTTTTGTAATCCAAAATGCTTTGTGAAACTCCCGAAATCTCCAATTACAAAAAATCTTGTCTTCTCATCTGCTGGGATCAAACCTGTGGTAATAACTTCATGCCCACTACTTAAGAACTCCTTCAGACCTCTAACCTTTGGCTTTTGAGGTTTTTCTACACTTGCATTGACTCAAAGACTCGCTGAAATTAGCAGAGTTCCGATGAAAATCAACATTTTTAGAAATCTTATTAATCTTAACTGTCAAAATCTTCAAATTTTTAAGGGGTTTTGGGGTTTTGGGGTTTTGGGGTTTTGGGG